GTATGAGTTCAGAGTTATCATGCAGAGGGTCATCGACCTTCAATGTGTTGGTTAAGCGACAGTATCAAGCCGACTATTTTAATATGGCTTAAGTCGATGCGTCATTCTTCGATTACGACTACACTAATCACTAAGTACAAATTGAAACGTCGAGCATTTATAATGTGTAGTCAAGGTTTGCTTGTCGATGCCGTTTAACCCCGTACCTCCTGGCATACTGGAGGTCGATAACTATCGGCATAAGAACTCTGAACTCACACTGCCGAAAAACCAGGAGGTCGAGGCCTTTGTTGCTTATATCATGTAGTGATCGACATCTAATTGTTGGGATCTGTTCAGCTCACAAGCCGCATTTATCAATAGACGTTTTGCTTCGTCGTTTGAGCTTATGTCGTAAAGATTCAAATAGTCGGCCATTGCTTTCTAATTTCCACCACTCTCCGCGAGCATGGGTTTCGGTTCCCCGCGGGGGTCCAACGGCAGATGAACGAGTGTGATAGCGAAGCTCTTAGCGCATTCCCACGCTCATTTCGTTCGCACCATTGGGCACTGCATCAGATGTACGTTTAAGATGGATGGCGAGATATAGAGCAGTTCTGCGCTTTTGGTCATCACCAGTCTCATCAAACTTGTGTGGTTTGTCTACGACATTTCACATCAGGAACTTCAGTTGTGCAATTGCCCCGTCCATCCCGACAGGCATGGAGAAGGGTGGACACACGCGACAGCAACGCCGTTCAAGATGTGCAAGGGTCCCAGGTCGAAAACAAGTCAGCTCCATGTGAGTTTACTTTTGTGGCGATCACGATCCACTGATTTGGTTGTTGGTCCGAAGACCAAATTCTCCTGCAATAGGAAGTTGTTTGCTGTTTGAAGTGCTTTCCAGCAGATGTTCTCGCGATTTGGGCACCAACAGCCGTCAGGGTATCTCTAGAAATCCAAAACTGCATAATGGGAGCATCCACATCGAGGACGCGGAAACGAGGCGAGAAAAGTGTCATTCCTGTTATCTTGCCCACACACCCCACAGCCCTGGAAAAACCCGCACCAAAATGGTCACCGTACCATCGTCATGGACCTTGAAAAGAGGTGATCAATGGCAAATCCATGTCAGTGCTCCGAGAGAAGATCATGGAGTCCCAAAATTCGCAGCTGGGTGGTCTTTCCATCATTTTGTCAATGAAAGCACACCATTTGGCAATGCATGCACTCGCAACCAAAGCATGCATCCGTCGTGGTCAACTGAAGTACACATGCGGTCCTACCCATGCGGCTGGTAACGCCCAACCGGATATCGGGGGGGGGGGGGGGGGCGTGGAGAAGCCGGGCGGCGCTCCGACTCCTCCCTCGCACGCCCCGCCCCGCTCGTCCGTATATAACGCGAGGTCGCGGTCTGGACCGACACACACTCATCCGTCGTCCGCTCTCAATCGCCATCATGCTCAAGCTGGTGAGTGAGATACAGGGCGTGACCGCCACCAGAAGCGGGGACGGATAGGGCGGCATTTCGTGAAGAGACGAGATCCGTTTAAGCAGGCAAATTTTCAATAGAGTGCTACTTGCATTTAATCCAGCACAAATAGAATACATTTGGGAGTTTGAGTACCTTATCATTAAGCCATGGTTTTATGCAGCCTCCCCCCCCCCCTTGACTCTCCTCACTTGAACCAATGGATATCTGTCATCTGTATTGAGCTGTTCCCAAGGACCAGCAATACTCTTGGGGGTGATAAGCATGTAACTAGAAAAAAAAAACAAGCAGATATGCTAGCGTCTACATAACACAAGGGAGTGTGACACCCATGTTCACTGTGTGTACTATTCTCAGGTCCTGTTCGTCTGCCTTTTGGTGTGCAGCTGCTCTGCCCTGCTGCCCCTGGGACTCGGCTACTCGGGCTACGCCGCTCCTCTGGCCTACAACGCCGCCCCCCTGGCCTACAACGCCGCCCCTCTGGCGTACGGCGGCGCCTTCCCCACCTACCAGACCGTCAGCCACAGCGTCGACATCGCCGGCCGAGCCGGTTGGAACAGCACGGCTACGTTGTCAAGTACTAGGCGGATCTCACCACCTCTGCTCTACCTCTTTCCGTTGAAAAATCATCATCGGTCCGCGTGCTCAGATCAACCTTTACGACTTCAGGCTAAATTCGCCTGCCTCTGAAAATACCCGGTCTGGACCCGTGAACATCATCGGTGCACATCCTGGCGTCTGCGTGACAATTTCCGGACTTTTGATTTATCTCATTGAGTCGGAAATAGTAGAAGTATCAGCGCCCGCATAAGGCGAGTGAACTCGGCAGTTTCGTATTTCATCATTGCTCATTACGTCAGATGTGATTGTGTGTTTTCATAAATAAACCGTATTAAGGAAAACGGATGAGCAGCAGCAAGCACGAGGGAAGCAACGGCAGCACATTTGAAGATGTGATGCGAGGGTCTTACATGAACCGAGGATTTTGACCATTTGATTAGACATGTCTAGCTGCAGACGGAAACTGAAGGTGGAAAGACGACAAGGAAGCAAAGGAAAAACTCTGGATGTGTCGTCCCCACGGTCTCTTCAGGCGGACAGAGGAGAAGAAGGGTTTGCAAGATGGAAGATGCCTCAACACACAGGCTGGTGTCTGTGTTGCTGCGCTGGCATCTTTTCACTATGCTGTCCTTTCTGCCCTTCCTCGCACTGAAAATGGCATCCGGCCGAAAATTCGTGGTCTTTTCCTCTCAAACACAGTGAATAATTGACAACACAGAACCGTCCCTACCGGTGGTTAGAGCGTTAGGGAAGCTGTCATCCGATCCACCCACTCGTGGTGGGGCAGGTTCGAATCGCTTCAGGGCGCTCACTATCTGCCTCCTAACAGAACATGGCCTGTGGCCGGTTGCGGCGGCGGCGCTGATGGCCAGGTAGGGTAACGTCAGAGGGCAGGACGGACTGTGCCGACCACTGCGTCAATGCATAAAGGGAATGCTAGACATTTGTATGGTGTTTTGAACTCAAATAATCATCTTGAAGATCATCCGGTGCAGCTCACAGCCCTGCCCTTTCTTAATACCTAACACACCTCTAGGTTCTAAGGTCCCACATCCGCGAAGATGGCAGGACTTTTCGGGGTGAATGTTTGAAGGTCACTCAGGTATTCATGACGTCAAAACAACGCTATTAAAATCCCGCCATTCCATTACCCACGCGACGATTAATGACAAAAAAAGTTGTCGAGTCGTTCATATCTGGCATTTGGAAGCAGTATTTCCAGACATCACGGCCGTCAAATGGCTTTCAATCAGTGTTGTGCAGGGCGTGATTACGCAATCGAACAATAACATACTGAAAAGCAGATTTACTAACAGAGAAATTGTGTCGTCTGAAGTCTTTTCCACTACCAATGATTCGTACAATACTTCGTTCCAACCAATGCAATACAATGGTTTGTACTGTTCGTACCAATAGGGCCAAAGTGTACTTGAGCACAAGTAGTACCAAAATGACCTTATTTCATCAGATTTGAGGCTTGCTTCAAAATCGTCAAATGTAGAACATTCCCTTTAAACTTTCGCCACCAAATTCTGCCGCTGGCCTGGAATTGGGCGATCGGATAGTAGAGGTCCGCGCTTACATAACAGCCACAGCTTGGTGTGGGATCTAAACACGTCTGTACACAAGACTTCTTCAGAATACTGAGCAAAATTCGCGAAATGTTCTCATCTGCTTAAGGTCATTGATGCGACTCTTGGATATTTTATGACGCTTTAGACTGCCATAAGGGAAAAGATGAGCAGTATCAAACCTTATTAATGTTTCTTTTCGGTGCGTAAAACGACCCCTTTTTGGATGTCTTAACTAGCTTCTCGCTGGCATTATTAGACTAATTTATTTGCTGCCAAACTTGGCGCGCACGAAAGATAGGACAAGAGGAGCAAAACCCATGTTTTTCATCAGTTGGCTCTTCATGGCTGTAAAGGATTTCTCCATAGAAGTTTTCGTCTCATTAGCATGCACCTATTGTCACTGCACGTTTGCAGCTCTTTGCGGATTCGGCCAGGGACCAAACGCGCGTCACATCACTATTGGGTTCATAATAATGAAACAAGCCCGGTTCCTGTGTAAACTTTATTGCCTGCTTTGATAGATCCGACGACAAACGATGCGGGTTTGATACTCCTCATTTTTGCTACTCCTCACCCTCATTTCCGCCCTCATTTCATCTAACTCTGAGCTTAGCCTAAGTGATTTAATTGGCCCGACTAACTGTTGCTCCCATAGGAATGCTGATATTGACTAACTCGCAAAGGAGTGCACGTGATGCAAAGGCCAATGCTTCAAGTTGCAGGGGCGGAGCCTGGTGTGCACATATCGCGGACTACGTACTCGCTCCGCCCGCCCAGGAGGCCCTACGATATTGTAGGCGGATGGACTTATGACCTCTGATCGTTATGAGCCAGACCACGGGAATATATCTTGCAAAGCATGAGCCATACTTTGTTTTGACTACAACTATTCATTGGCAAAAGTTTGAGAATTCGATCTGATTCATCCGACCAATTGCAAACGCAGTCCAATGACCAACTCAGCTTTTTAATCAATTTCAAGGCTGTTGCGATCAAATCTATTACATCGTATCACTACGTTACCAAGCACCTTGTCACAAAAAGTCACATGCATCACGGTTTGGGTACGGCAGCTTCAAGGTTGGCGCTCACATCTTTACTAATTGTTTGGATCCACTACACTTTATCCATTTCTCATGGTCACCAACACTAACCCGTGCATTTTGAGCCAAGTTTGAATCCTTCTAGCCAAACGATAGATTTACTACATATCTAAAGAGCTTTAGATCCGCCCGCCGGCGGCGTCCAGGCCCCAGAAGTCGGCCCGCCTGGTGGCCGAACGCTGGGGCGTCGCCATGTGGTGATATTGCCCAAGAGCTTGCAGACACTGGGGCGTCACCAGGTGGTGGTCACAGGCGGGTGATGTTTTCCCAGAGAGCGCAGCCGCTGGGGCGTCACCAAGTGGTAATCTTGTCCCAGAGATCGCGCACGCTGAGCGGCCGAGCCGCCAGCCGTCGCTCCGGATGCAGGGCCGCCTCCAGCGCCGCGTCGAACACGGCACGCCCACGCCGGCGCCCGTCACCGTGCTGCACTCGCGGTAGTCGGCGGCGCCGAGCCGGGCGGCGACGCGCCGGCCCCGCTCCGTCGGCACGGCCTCGCCGCGGCCGGCGGCGCTCGCCTGGATGGTCGTCGCGCGCCTCGGCCTTGGTGCCGACCAGCAGGAACGGCGCGCGCGAAGCGTACTGCTCCAGCTCGACGCGCCAGTCGGCCTCGAGACGCGGCCAGGCGGCCGGCTCAGTTAGGTCAGCACACAGCACCACTACGCCGGCGTCCCGGTAGGCAGAGTAGGCGGTGAGGCGCGAGCGCAGCTGCGCCGTGCCACCGGCCGTGTCCACCAGCTGCAGGTCATACGCTGTGTTCATGTGGTACAGCGTCACGTGCACCATCTGGGGCAGGCTGCAGAGGCTCTCTGGCGGCAGCGATGGTCGCCGACCGTCGGCGAACGTGTGGAGTAGCGACGTCTTTCCGGCCCGGTCGTCGCCCACCAGGACACATTTGATGGTGGCATCACCTGACATGCTCGACGGCTCGATTCCAGTGAGGCAAGGTTGAACTTTGTGAACGGTGGAACGCCGTGAGCGTGGGAAGTGGGTTCTTCCTTCCCTCCAAGAGCCGAGATCCAAGCTTTCAAGTCACGAGAAGTCCTTCCAGCCCAAGAAACTCACCACTCACTTTCGACTCACCAGAAAAGACCCACACCACCTGTCGCCCTCGGCGGCCGCTCTCCTCGGTGAACGGACCGGTTCCTGGTTTACGCGTCGCTGCAGTGGGCGTCTCCGGCTACTCGGGACGCCGCGTCGGCGGGAGTCGGCGGACTGCGGCGCCGTCCGGGACGTCGCGGTCCAACGCGTCTGGTTGCGGGAAGTCGGGCGATAAGCCGGGCAGTTCGCTGGCTGCTGATGACGTCAGCAGACCGTCGGCACGACCGCCGGCCCGACTACGGCGGCTGCTGGCCGCGGCGGAGCCAGCGCCGTGTCGAAGGGTGATGAGTGCACACCCATCACCCCCATCCTCCCAAAATCAGAACAATTAAAACGACTCTTCTGAACCGAATGCCTCTACTTCTTTTCGTCGTTTTATTTCGAGGCTTTCTAAAGTAAGGGACTGTTGACCAGAACACCGGGTCTCCAAAGGTTTTGCCTCATCGCCCCCTGACTACTTCACTGCCTGCAACGGTGCAAGGCAGCCAGATTCCAGAAGCCGGCTGATATGTGGCTCCGGAAGCGGGTGTGCTTATTGAGGCGTAATGAACACCCAACATCTTCTGCAGGACCTTTCCACGCCATTTCCAACTTAGTCTTCTTGGCGGCATGACAAAAAAACCTGGTGCACCCTGTGCAGCTGACACGCAATGTTCCTTCAACGAGCAGAGATAAAATATATTGAGGATGCCTTATTCATTTGGTGTTATTCCCGCACAAATTATTTTTGTCCAACTGTGTTCCATACGTGATTTTCTATTTCACAAAGAGCGCACTGTTCTCACAATTTAATGCGATCGAACACCAACATACGACATTCTGGCACGCGTAACACATCACTTACGTCGGGACAGGGCTTCATTGAATTTATTGGGGTCACAGGACGGAGACCACATTTTCCAGAATACTCTGGTGGTTGTTTCAGTTTTTCATGCCTTTGACGGCTTGTTGGGAGACTTTGGGTTCACATATGGGGACGCAAGACACATATGAGAGGGTGGAGCAGTGTCATTCCGAAGATCTAGACCTTTGGACGTAACTTGGACTAACCACCAAGGATATCACAGTACTTTTAACCGGTAATTTCACTCCGTTGGATGTCAGCCGCGGCCATATGCCTAGCGGCCACAGTGGCGTCGTGTGGTGGTCATGAGTAAAAGCGGCGTTATGCCATATTGTAGTGAATTAGCACGATCGGGCACAGTTTGCGGATTTACCCTATGCCAAATATTACTCCTTGGCTTCACGTGTTTTCCACTACGCAATGTTATGCGGTAATAAAATTTAGTTTATCATTTAGTGTATCATAACAAAGGATGGACATCAGCTTAGCTGCACAACATAAACATCGAATCACATAAAAATCACAGCATATTGGGAAAATACCGTTTACCATCGGACGGGACTAATCACGCGAAGTCGACTCATGCATAAAAAACCGGTGTTCACGCAACTTTTGGTTCGGAAAATTGCAGCTGGAAACAATACAGCTGCACTTTGCATGTACAACACCGGTAATTGCATTATGGAGGTATAAAAATTGCGCTAGAAGTTATGAATGTTGGCTACTTTTTATATGTTTGCGGCGTTACTTTTCTCTAAAATATTCTGCTGTACCTACGCTTGTGCCCATATGTCTCTAAGAGCTGCAAACTTAACTCCAGCACCAGGTGTAAATTGGAAAGCTGGCGACCCTTTCGCACAAGAAAATCCCCACTTTCACAGCGCGAGCTTCTTTACTTCCCGGGCACCTCTCGAAACAGGCGAATTGCATGACATCTGCTCCTCAAGTGTATCGAAATAGAGTTCGTGAAAAAAACATCAGGAACTCGCATGTTCGCTCTATAGCATGGAGGCATATCACCTAATGGATGAGCTGCAATCACCACAATGATCGAAGTTCCGGCCAACGGTAATCGTATGGTCAGTTCGTTGGATGGATTGGAGGTAAATTTGGAGTTTGAGCAAGGCGGTAGCAGGGATGACTATTTGGAACTTTTTCGCTCTTCTTACTTGGTGTGGATGAAGATCATGGAAAAGGTAATTTTTGAACAAAACAAACACACACACACGCACCCACACATTATGTATGTGCGTGCGGGCGTGCGTGCGGTGCGTGCGTGCTGCGTGCGTGTGTTTATCGACCCATATTAGTGGATAGACGGTAAACACATCGTGAGAAGGGGGGAGATCCCACAGAGATGCAAAGCTCCATCCATCCAGCGAACGTCACTTTCGTTTGCGTTTGTCTCTCCCTGCACTGGTGGCCGGGCGGCGGGTACACTCGCTGGCCGTCACGGCTCAGTGGGGCCGCAGTCAGTGGCGCTGCAGCTCGGGCCGGCCCAGGTCAGCGGCCGTCGGGGATCAGTCGGACCAGGTCAGCGGCGGTCGCGGCTCAGTCGCACCAGGTCAGCGGCAGTCGGGGATCAGTCGCACCAGGTCAGCGGCGGTCGCGGCTTAGTCGCACCAGGTCAGCGGCTGCCGCGGCTGAATTTGACCAGGTCAGCGGCGGCCGCGCCTCAGTCGCACCAGGTCAGCGGCTGCCGCGGCTCAATTTGACCAGGTCAGCGGCGGCCGTAGCTCGGGCAGCTGGGTGATAAAGCGGGCGTGGCTGCCGTGGGCCGAGTCCGGCTGCGACGCCAGCTGACCGGCGAACAGCGTCAGGCCAGAGACGCGCTCCACATCCCGCAGCGTCGCCTCGTGGAAGTTCACGTACTTGCCCGCCGCCTGCCGGCAGACCGACGACCAGTGGCGGACACGCCCCACAAGCGAGGCGCACGACAACTTTCGGAGCTGGTGGTGTCCACGACCAAGGTCGGTACTACACCCAAAATGCCCTATCGCACAGCCGATAATTTCTTAAAAGGTTATTATGTATAATTATTGTTTATAATTTCTTAACATATGAGATAATTTCTGAATAAAAGGGAAGTAAACATAGCGTGCCGCCGGCGGTATTCCCACCAGGTTGTAATGATAACCCCGTCCTAGCCGGTGGTAGTAATGCAAGAAATTGTAAAAACAAACTACAATCAGAAGGCTTATAACGAGTAGCTTTTGAAGCGTGACGGCAAAATGGACAACCCGGTTTCAAGAGACGGCATGCAGCTTTGTTTCTGTTCAGTATTGCTCTGTTCTACAAAACGAAATCGCTTTCACTTTTCTGGCTATGGCTTGCTTCACAAATATGAGCTTACCCTCCGTACGCAAAAATATCAATGTCCCTTCTCATCACCAACCCCGTGATAAATTTCGTTGACTAATGTCAACAAGTTTCGGCCTGCACAGTACTTCTGCAACTCAACAAATTAATCAAACAAACTAACGCAAATAATAGAAAGAAAGCAGCATCACCTTTAGAGACAACAAACCAGAAAAAAATTAACTGGACCCTGTAGCCTCCGATGTTGGAGCCGTGGTCAAAGCCGAGGCTGTCTGTATGACCTGGCGGGTTCTCGGTTCACCGATTGCCGACCGGCGGCGGTCAGTCCGGGCTGCCGAGCCTGTCTGTATGACCTGGCGGGTTCTCGGTTCACCAAGTGCCGACCGGCGACGGTCAGTCCGGGCTGGCGTTTGCCACATGACATCACATCCCAGCGCCCACCTCGCACGGCCGGAAGCGCTCCTTGTGCGGCAGGATCCACTGCTTGTGGACAATCTCTTCCGGGCGGCAGCCGCGGCCCCCGCACATCCGCAGCTGGTAGAAGAAGTGGGATGGAATCGGCTGCCCGAATCTGCAGCATGGTGGGCGTATCAGGTGGGCATCACGTGCGGAGTTGTACAGACGAGGACCTGAGTGACGGTGTGAGGACCGTTCTGAACAAAGCCGACACTGGTATCGTGGCGGCTACGGCGAAACACTTCATACAGCGCCCATAAAGTGTTGAGACTCCAGCATTCATGCATCAAGAGTCCAAGAAGAGCATCAGAGACATCAAAAACATCAAGAATCCCAGAGCAGCATCGAAGGCTCCGATGCATACGGGCGGTTCTTCACGCAAAAAGTCACGTAAACGCCTCATGAACCAGCCCGCTCGCATTCCATTGCGACTGCACGCGTCGGATTCATTGCTTTAAGCGCTAAGCATGTGGTAAGAGAGTGCACTAAAGGAACACATCACCGCCTTTTTACACACAACACACCACCATAGGCGGAGGAACATCTCAGACCACGGAGGTCCGAATACCAATCTTGAACCGCCCCTTTCAATACGTCGCCGTATTGTCAATAGCCGGGAAGTGGGGTGCTCTGGCCCTCACGCTTACCTTTCCCCGTCCCTACGCCTCTGTACATGGTGGTTTACGATGCGGGCAAATAGCTCGATGTTAGGCGGGAGGCTATCATTTACGGGATACTGCAGATACCTACAGATACAGGATAGGTCATCGGGTAGATCATTACCTACTTCTTATCACAATCAAATTGAACACGATGTTGCTGACCGCAGAACGGCAGTCCCAGTAAGTACTCATTGAATGCTATCACATTCAGCGATTCTCATGGCTCCTGGATAGCTTCGCCCTTTCACCACAGACGTGCAAGGATTTCCAAATAGGAGCCAGGGGAAAAGCTTGCCTAGTTTGATGGATAACACAGCATGGAACCCAAAATCGGTGTACTGTGTAAGCTACTCAGCCACCCAGCGGCCGCTCCAGCCGCGGTCAGCGGGCTTCGACGCAGTGGGGCGGGCCCTCACCTGTCGAGAGCCTCCGAGCGGTACACGGGCCCGGCCAGCACGGCCACCAGTCCGTACCGCCGCGAGTACGTCTCCAGCCGGCGCAGCAGCTCGGGAAGCACACGCTCTTGGTACGCTGGGTACATGGGGTACATGCTGGCAGCCAGTCGCCCCAGGTACGAGTCGGTGCCTGAAGCAGACGAGAGACGGCGCTCAAAACAAACTACGTGCGAGACCGATTCCCCACCAAGTTACGGAACCGATTACAGCACGTCGCAGGCTGCAGTTACTCATAATGAGCACAATCTGTGCCGAGTGATGGCCCCCGTTAGAGCGTCAGCCGTGATGGGGCCGGGTTTAGATCCGCGTCTCGCCGCTCACCGCCCGTATGGGCCGGGCTTCTGTAGGCGGATCTGTGCCGAGTGATGCCTCCCGTTAGATCGTCAGCCATGATGGGGCCGGGTTTAGATCCGCATTTCGCCGCTCACCGCCCGTGTGGACCAGGCTTCTGTATGCGGAGTCAACTGAGCAGCCTTGCACGGGTCCCGGCCGGCCGCTGCTCTGGAACAGACACTGGCTGTCGGCGGCCGGCAGCGGCGGCATTGTCAGGCTGCCGTTGCTGTCCCGCTCCAGGTAGTACTGCAGCCAGCGGTACGACCGCGACGGCTTCGGCGACGGCTCTGGGGGCGGGGCAGTCGGACTTCAGTGGTGGTGTACAATGTCTTTACCCGAACAATCCCAGAAATGACGACTGTCTGAAACTGTTCTGGATATGAATGTCGCCTGCCGTAAATGAAGCACTCACCAGCTGCGAAGGATCCATCGACAGTTACATCCAGAAGAACGTCCCGCCCAGATACCGGCAGTGGCAACGTGCCGCTCACATTCTTGGTCCCCGCTAGCCATTCCTCCAAGGCCTGCGAAGGGTAAAATGGAAAAAGCGAGGGTATTAGTAGTGACCATAGTGAGGCACAAGCCGCTTCCATGAACGGCTCTACTCTTTGAACAAGGTTATCAACCGCAATTTTGGGTATTTAGTATGCTCGTCTCACTTTTCTGCAATGAGCATTGACAACCCCCAAAAATCAACATATTTTGTCTCTTCGTAAAAGTGTCGCGTGAAAAAAGTTTTGCTGTCAATGTGGAAGAACGCCACGTTTTTGCTGTAGCTCCGGCTCAAGGGCATAGTGCTTGGCCGGACTATGGTTATCAGACCTGGCAATTTGCTCACCTCTTCGCAACGTCGGCCATTGCTCACATGGGTGTAAGCGACGCTTTACATTGAGACGAAGGTGGCTATGCCATAAAGGAGTCATGTACATATTTCAAATTTGGTTACCCCAAGGAGCAATTCTGATCAGGATTACATTAATGCTGCGGAACGCATGCATCTACCCTCCTTATGCGTGTTCGAGCCATTGGTGTTTACGATGCAGGCAACTGCCATGGCCAAGGAAGGGCGGGCACTGTGGGGAACTGAACTCCGTTTCTCTGGTTTCCCAGGCACACAGCTTAACCACCACACCTTTGTCATACCCTGTCGAGTCAAGAACACCATTCTAATCAGTAGTTAGACTGGCTGCCTGTCGCGACCTTTGCGTGCTGGTAACACACACGTAAGTGTAAAAAGTGTATTTCTGCTAGGCCATATTTATTGGCACTGGTATGAGCCGCCAGTGTGGGTGGCAGCTCACACTCACCGCTCCCCTCCCCCACCCCCCACGGAGGGTATCTCCGTAGGTTGTTGACAGGGTAATAGATTTAGGGTGGTTGGCGCCAACACCGACACCCAACTACCGTTGTGGCGCGCTCCCGGTACATACCACGACAGGCGGTCCCGCGGTCAGGACGGTCAGCAACTAAGATCCATGCTGTGGTGTCCAACAAGAGCATCCATAAGTGATGAGTTGAAAAAATACGTTAATATAAAAAACATTCAATAAATAAATGTGAGCAATTAGAGCTACACAGCCTGTCCTCAGCATCATACCTGTGCCAAATTCAGGTTACTTTAGTACCATTTCGCCACGATTTGGTGCGCCTTCGCGTCTTGCATAACATTTTCGGCAATCTAGTGGCCGCTTACTAGTTTTGCCTTTCGTAAATGGGATAGGTAACGTATGTATAAGGCGCCAATAAGCTCTATACACGCCTCTGGAGAGAAGACAGGAAAAAGGCTATGTCCATTTGGCGTTTGGAGCGCATTTACTCATAGCATACTTACTGCCTACCGTTCTTGACTGTCGTGCAGCGATCAAGCACGTGATCTCATCAGGACGGCATCAGACGGGCTTAGAGCAAAATTGTCTCGGAAAACTGCTGTGCTGGCCCAGAAGTCACATGACCCCTCAGCGCACGGCCATAGTACAGTGCATCGCATGAAGGCTGCTGTACCAGCGAAGGTTAGGGTTCCCTGCCGCACGTGGGCCTTGCTCACTTGACACCTGCAGTTGTCCAGCTCGGTGCAGCATGGGTTGGTCAGGGTCTGCTCCAGCGGCGGCGAGGCCGCGACCGGGGCAGGTCCAATCGGGGTCCGGTCAGAGGGTGGCGACACCAGCAGGTGGTCCAGACTGGAAACACGCCGACCATGCATGTAGTGAAAGGCACCATCATCAAGCCTGAGCACAGCGAGGTTACAGCGTACACTGTCGTTGACATGAACGCAGAGCTCGTCATGTCGTGCTTTCGTGAAGGCCGTGACGGCCGCGCAACAGTACGGTACCCATGGACCACATGACTAGCTCCAGTTCCGATGAGATAGATGACGTGAGGATCAGCCCCCGTCCCGTCCTGCTCCAGACGCCGGACATACCTCCGCACTTAAAAGACACCGGCCAGCATAAAGGATCTAGCACTTCTCCGCACTGCCTGGACTAAGGCTACCATTGCCGTGTCAGCGGCCGCGCACCTGTGTTTGGTTGCGTTGTTCTCAATGTCAGGCAGCCCGAGAAGTGTTTGAAACAGGCTGTACAGCTGAATGTTTTCGAAAGGATCAGCTGTGAAGTTGCGCTTGAAGGACGGTCCGTGGGCGACAAAGAAGCTCTAGAACAATCAAAGCACAAAATTAGCATAGAATTACACTTATGCTATGATGCTTACGGCATGATGTCATATTGTGTTTGAATCCAATTGTTCTATGGTACGATTATTTGCCTACGCCCCGATACAAATGATGTGCAAACGGCTGACTTAAGTACAACCGGGCTGTCTGGTAAGCCAGGCAGCGACGCAGGATAAGTCTACAAAACGTGACTGAGGTAGCATTCGGAGGCCTATCAATGAAAGCAATATTATCAGCAAAAGCCTGATATATATGACAAAACAACAGGCACCACGAAACCCGTTACGCAGAACAAAATAACTCCGCGCCGGCATAGTTCACGACCATGCCACTTCTGCCACCGGTCGAAGGTACCCTCATGTCCACCAAGTCGTTGTCGTAGCCGTGCATCCCACGTATGCAGAAGTCGGAGCTGGGCACCGACATGCCGTAGCCCTGGTCGACGGTGGCAATGATGGGCTCGATGCGGCTGCTCTGCTGGTAGTGCCAGCGCTCCGGAAGCTCGTCACGGTGGAGCACGCGCAGCGCCGGGTGCGCGCAATCCAGCTGCTCTACTAGGTCGTTAACTGCCGGTAACACCGCACGAGAATGCTTAAAGTTAACATGACAGCATTGCAACGGCTACAGGGGCGGATCCAGGAGGCAACCTGGCCATTCCCCTCCCCCGCCCCTCTCCTGTGAGATGGGCCAAGCTGGCAAGGAATTAAGCTCAGGCATATTTCGTGACACAGCTATGGTGTACTCACCCCTCGCCCCACAGCATGTGACATTGGTCACAGCTCAAAGGGCGTATGCAGCAACCACAAATTTGCAGCAGTCCATGGGTATGCAGCATGAACTAGCTTTTTATTACTTTTTCAACAGCAAACAAACACTGGGCTGGCTCTGAATCAGGCCGGCCTAACTAACGACCGACCATCTGGCTGGCCCACCTGACGACTGGTTATCTGGTCGGACACGGGTGACAGGTCCGTTAACGTAGGTAGAGTTCTTACTAAGTCCCGGCACATAATCATCCAGAATGACTGATTCGCAGTCCTCCCTGGAACAGAACACCCCGTGCCAATTATCGTGAGTTAATCTGGCATCCAGCGGAAAAAAGCCAAATCGTACTCAGATTCACACATACAATCAAACACAAGTTCGATTATTTGTATAAGGACCGTGGCAGAAATACGCAAAAGTGTTACGCAGCAGACATAACGACCAATACTACCGACGCATAACTGCCCCCCCCCCCCCCCCCCCCCAACAGTCCCGTTATGTTACAGCTGACTTCTACCCCTGTCCCGCCCTTGCCTGCAGGGCCGGTCCCGTGTCACCCAGTCACCCGTCACCGACCTGACCGTCGCCATGCCGTGGTCTGAGGACACCGTCACGTCCACACAGCCCAGTAAGTCGTGCTCCATCAGCTGACTGTACAGACTGGCCAGCTGGGCGTCTACGCGGTCCACCGCCGCCTTCACCTGCGGTGCAGTCAGGCCCGAGCGGGCTGGGGTCAGCATGGATGTGCCTCTCGGGACAGGGGGGGGGGGGGGGAGGGCTCCAGACGGCGTACCGCTCGGGACAGGGAGACGTACACGACTCAAGGCGGGGTAATTAAACAGGGAGTGGCGTTCGTCTCTCCATGACGTATGAGACGAAGAGCACGCAAGAGAAAATATGTATATATATATATATATATATATATATATATATCATGTTTCTTTCGCGTACTGAGACCTACAGCACGCGAAGAAAAAAATCAACATGCACAATCAAAGTCAAAGCGCGCACTTTAGCAGTCGCTGCAATACCTACATCATTGAATCAAAATTTGAGTGCACACATACATGTACCCAAAACATAACAACCAACCACTTATGCCACCTCGTTGACGTGTCGAGCGTTGTCGATGACGTGCATCAGATCAGAAAAAGAAATTAAACACCGCTGAATTCAAGATGGTCGCCATCGCTTTTTCGCCCGTGACGCGTAGTTGCCCACACAGCCTGCATCAATCACGATCGCCACCAGCGCGTGGCAGCGGCGGGGCACGGGATCTGCAGCGCTATGGCCTGGCCTTTTGCCCATTCATTTATACAACTCATCGCCAAAGAGTAACATTATACCGACTGCTCCACTGACAGTCACTGCATAAGACAAGAAAGCATAGATAACATACTTTGTTTTCAAGGATGACATGTTCTTAATCACCTTCAATAGAAACATCGTAAGACTATCGCCAAACAAGTCCATTTAATTTCTATTAATGTTTTGAAGGCGGCTGATCTCCCTCTGTGGTATGCAGAAATGACCGTCGTTCACTTTGTTTACACAGACCCCTGGTACAGTGAGCAGCGCATGTGTAAAAGTCGGTCGACGGATTGCATAAATAGGGGTTTCTGAGCAGAACTTCTGCTTTCAATTTTACTCCAGCTACATTTCCCAGAAATATAAAATCGTGATGCACTCTGCTGGGATTGAAAGGTTAAATTTTTTAGTACCGCAGGTGAACGTGCAACGGAGAAGGGGACAAAACCAGAGAATCTGTGACTTACTGGCCAAAACAAGAAACCTGTGCTAAACTAAACGGACTAGCACTCTGCGAAACTGCCCCCCCCCCCCTCTCTCTCTCTCCCCTCCCCGGTTTAAGCTACCGGACTGTAACACTGGCCGTACGTTGGCGTAATACGCAGCCAAAAATGCTTCTCAGCTGGTCTGCCTTAGATAGCCTAAAACGACCGAACACGACCAGGTGCTGGTGCTGGTGAGCTCGGCTGCCTATGTTTGAGGCATGAAAGGCAGCAGCTAACTTTGTGTCAAGTATTACACCTGATATGCATTGATTCTTATAATCAACTATCGCACAGAACTAAGATAAGCCAGCTCAGCGGAATTTCCGGTCGAGGACAGAAATGTTTCAAGTTGTGAGTAATGAGCACATGATTAACGCTCAAAAAGCAGCCGCTGTCACCGAAGAGACGAAACGGGTAAATGGGCGGTAATTTTAAGCATTTGTGTCACATTTTAAAGGTCGGAATGATCTTCATCCTCTTCCACTGCTCCAGGGAAACACCCGTAAATACTGAGATCGAACCGGTAACAATCTTGGTGAGTGGGTCACCGGATGCCCGCACACGCACAGTAACTCCGGAGTTAGTGCTGTGTACATTCCAAAGGCCTTAATGAGGACTGATCGAAACCAGAGCTGCTTGGATAGTGGTCCCATACGCATAGAATCGGCACGGTGGCTCAAGAGTGTATAAAGACGCGTCGTCATAGCCTTGCACGGGGGCGATGAACTTCCTAGCAAATCATCTTTAACAAGCGCCCGGGTGACCGGTTGGATACCGTTCGCTCGAGCGGGGGTCAAATTGACCCCCTAATATCTCAGAAACTAAGAGGGCTGGCGATACCAAATTCATGGGGTGTTTTGGCCTGCGCGTGAACTCACTTAGGTCAAAGTTTGTGCCTCGTAGGTTATGACCTTCGGGCCAAATAAGGTCAAATACGATCAAGTTACAAGTTGGTCTCCAAAGCGTCTTCGAACCTAGATACCTGTTCTAAGCAAAATGTCTCATGCCCATTCAAGGTCAGTAACCTTCTTCAGCCCTTCGAAGGTCATGGTGACCAAAATCGTAGAAGACTGCTTTGAGTTTTGCACTTGAATAAGCGACAAAGTTTAAACTAGGCAATATGTTTCCAAAACGAAATGCTGATCTGGGTTATTTTAGGTTAGTGGCCTATTGTGACCTATAAAAAGTATATGGAAGATGGCTAATGCGGTTGCTGTCATCAGTACATTCGAAATGAGAATCAGAATCTACCTCACCAGCAAGCCCTAGAGTAATAAAAACAGGTTGGTCCCGATCTTGGTTCGACCTTCATATCTGACCCTAGGTCAATGGAAATTGGTCACTTAATTGCTGTCTTGCCTAAGAAAGTATCCCGGAGATGTATGGCTTCATCCAACACTCCGTTGTTCCATCAGATTGAAGAATTCACTTGAAATTGACTTCGCTGAATCCATAGCCTGATTTTGATCTGCCGTAGGTCAGCGACCTTACAAGGTATATTAAATCTGTGATGCCACAAGATCCGCTATTCAATTGTCTACAGCTGTGCAAAATTTGGCGCGGCTACGCCGCGTCGTTCGTATACCATTCCGGAAAACCACTCGGGGGGTAATTTGACCCCCGCCCGAGCGCGTGCCAAGTGCAGTGGCACGATCTAAGCCATTGGATATAAGGATGCGATCCCAATCGTTTAAGACAGGTGATATGAACGATGTTTGGTCACACATTTTAGAACGACCATAACTGGTTCGGTCTTGAGCTAAAATAGCCGGGACTCTCCGCAACTTTTTCAGTATTTAACATTTGACGCAGATTCAGCAGTATGCACATCTACTGCACATATCACGTTTCGTTCACTGGTACAGGATCTCGCCGGAAATAATGGAATGCAGCCAACTCCAGCCGGAGAGCAGCCCGCATCGTCGCGTCAAACTAAGGGCTCATTCTACGCCGGGGGACCACAGCGAGAACGCGGTCGGCAATTGCCGAATCGGAGCAATGAGTCAAATATGTCCGCCACCCTGTCAACGATCGTGTCATCCAGCAGCCTTCACGGCACCAAGGAAGGACTCTGTCGCAGACCGTCAAAGTCTGCTCGTTTGCAATTAAATATGGCCGCCTCGTGACCGCGGGCATACGTCAGCAGGTTGGCTCGCCAGCCGAACACAGCCGGCATAGTCCTGAGCAGTACTACGTGGAGAACTTTCCCTCCTCCAGAAAGTTCACACACCCACTGTTTCAGATCTAGCACATTTCACGCTTCAACAAACCTGCATACGAAACGATCCCAATGGCTGAAGGCATCCAGTTGACTACGAGGAGGTAAATAAAATCACTGACGCTGACGACTCTGCAGCTCGCTGGCCGTGGTGCCGCCAAGTTTGCAGTTTTCCATCGTTGGAGCGTCTGGCTCAGATGAGTCCGCCCGCTGACAGATGCAGCCCGACACCGCCAATGGACGCTGCGTCAGACGACTGACATCCGGCCCCACCCGGCCGCTGGGGCAGTACGTGCCACCGGGTCGGCGAGGGTCTGTCAGTCCCTTTGCCATATATCTCGTCCCTCGCACCCCCCCCCCCCCCTCTCTGACCTGCTCCGAGTTCGGGCCATAGCTATGACCGCTCTTGTCCGGCTCCTCGAAGTAGAGCGACAGGTAGCGAGGTCGCTTCGGCTCCGGCAGCAGCAGCCAGTCGATGATCTGGGTCACGCGCTGCTCGTACGGCACCTTGCTGTCGTACCGCTTGTAATGCGTCGGCAGACGACCGGGCACCTCAGAGCCCGGCCAGAAGAAGACCGCCGACACACCGCCCTGAAACGACGCCAGGAAATCAGCTCATGTTCTGGGACCGGCACAGAGGCACGGAGGCCGCTCGACGGTTGGATTAATTGCATGCTGAACGTTAGCGTCATCTTGGGCGCTGCGGCTTGGTCTCAACTCGATTTTATTCCACTCTTTCCACGCACCTCCGCCGCCTCATTGTATGTCAGCCATCCAACCCCTAACAGGAATGTGTCCACGGCGAATCATGCCGAAGGTCATCCTTGACGCCCTTTTTACCAGGCATAATAGCTGCGTGCGTCGACCGCCGCACGATAGCTGCGTGCGTCGACCGCCGCATGATAGCTGCGCGCGACGACCGCCGCATTGCGCTGCCACGTGTGTCTCCAGGTCACGTGACCAGACGAGAGACTAGGTTCCTGGTCACGTGACCGGGCTGCTGGCGCCGTGCCAAGCGTTGAAGCCGAGCCGAACCCAGCCTGAATGCATGCACGGAAGCGTGGCTCGGCGCTGAATGGCGCGTCTGGTCCGGATACTCCCCCTCCCATGTACAGGACGTGACTGTTGGAGCGGCTGCACTCGTTATCGGACCATGAAATGTCAGTCATCATCACCAGGACTCATCGACTTGGACTGCGAGATAAACGTTGAGACCGGCTGGCCCAGCATTTTATAAATGCATGCATCATGCAAGAATATAAATGCATGTGCATCCCTTTCAGCGCGTAGAACGCATGGTACGAATAGATATTACACATTAAACACGATATCTCAATTATTTATCGTACAGCAGTGTGAAATTGCAACGAGCGCAAAAGTAAATCAGATTTTATGTTCACAAAGTTGTGTGCAGCTGAGAGTAAACTGGAGACAACGAGAAGTGATTACGCTTCAGTGAAAATGTGTTGAAAAATGTTATAAAAATGGAGCATTTCGTAACAGCGAACAATGGCAGCAGGCTGCTGTGCTCCGCCAAGTCTGCGGAAGTGTGGTGCGATGAACATACCATCTTCCGCACGGTCTCCCACACCGGCTCGGCACGCCACCAGACGGGCCGCAGGCTCTCTTGCTTGCCCAGCTTGAAGCGGCGGCCAGGCAGCGCCGTGTCGTACATCCTGTTGCCGACGATGCCGTTCGACTCCGGATACATGCCCTGCGGAGGTAGCACGGCGCCGCCTTACATGGTGTGGGAGCGTGCGACTGAGGCGGGGCCTCCCGCGAACTGTTCGACTCCTTCAGCGTCGCAAACATGAGGGAGGCTGAAAACCAGCGGTAACAGCGGGCAGCAATCCGTCTGATGTGCAACCGTTGGTCCATTGTGGCCGTAGTCTACTCTTTATTCGCAGCAGTGGGGGTTTTATGTGCAGTCGCGTTCGCACGCGTGCACCTACATCCACACGCACACCTACCTTCACGCGCACATCTGAGCACGGCATTACGCAAGTCAGAGCACACCAATGAACGCCATTCACCGATGTATTCAACATCCACACCCCATCTGGCGAGGTACAGCACTGAGTTGGATACGGGAGGAGCGCAGCGTCCACCAAGCCGTTAGGGTGTCCCGGAACGTCCAGTCACTTGATTCAGCTCTGAACGCACGACCAGGAGTCGGGCCCACTGGGCCTCAAAGGACCCTCAGGGGACCCCCAGGGGATCCCCAGGGGACTACAAGCGGTCGGGTCAACTTTGAACAGGCATGGTAGGAGCCTAGCGCCCGGATCGTCCCTCCCCGATCCTCTCACCGTGGCGATGCTGTAGTGGTTGGGGAACGTCTTGCTGGGAAATGAGGTGCGGACGTAGGGCGCCGTCACACCGCAGTCCAGCATGTCCTGCAGCATGGGCGACACGCCGAAGTGCAGGTAGTCGTACCGGAATCCGTCCAGCGAGACGACGAGCAGTGGGCGTGGCCCGGCCGGGCACCGGTCCGGGGTGGGCGGGCAGGCGCCGGTCCGCCGCCAGCGCAGCAGCGGCCGGCGCACGGCCGGCTCCGGTGCCTTGCTGCGGCCGCACACCACCGCCAGATGGATCACGACTGCCAGCAGCACCAGCACCAGCAGCCCCAGCAGCTGCGGGGAGCGGCAGTCAGCGGAGTATCAGCGACTGGCGAGGCCTCCACAGGGACCTCGACCTCGAGGGACGACAGAGCCTCGGCGGATGAGGAAAGGCAGGTGGAACGGCGTCAGGGAGGAGGGAAGCAGGTAACGGACGTCATAGGACCGGCGCGGACTGATGCCGGCGCGGAGAGTCTGGCGGGACAGGCAACAACTGCGGACACCAGGGATTGAAGGCGAAAGGCAGCTCGCATCTCAGAATTGGGAGGATTTAGGCAAACCAAAGACGGAACCATGCATAACTTTGAATGGGCTTGTGCCCCTTGTTTAATACTTTAACATGTGGCCTATGAGAGCAACGATATTCCATGCAAAGTGTTACTTATAATCAACTCATTCCTCCACATCACGCAACTGCCATTAACAGCGTCGCTCCTGACGCAGGCCAAGCATTATCGACTGCGGGAGAACAGACACCGGGTAACAGGGGCTGACGAGAGCAAGCAATGTCCGAGTACAGTCAGGGATCTGTTTGACGGGATGTCTAGCCAACTGGATGTGAGCAATGGTGTACTGATCACCATAAACTGGCGCTTCACGCTTACAGCATTAACCGCGTCTACGCAAGTGGATCGTTAACAGCGTCTTCCAATCTGTTCGGACACCAAGGATTGTCGGTAAATGCATTTTAGCATGGAGAGTAAGGCGAGTTTGCTTTAATATCCCTGGCGTGGATACCACAATGAACTGGTTGCCCACATGCTGCTATCAATGAGCACACGCCTATGCATTCCAGATCTTCACAGCGTTCTTCAAGAAGGTGACTTTACTGAGCATGAGTAACCTCACTGTCGCAGTCCTCCTCCACATACCAGCTTGTATGGGTTTGCTGGTTCTGCACTAGGTGTGGCGCAGAAGTGGCCGTTTTTGTGTGCCAATATGTAATACAAAAGTTACCTCTCAAAACAGGGATTCTAATTATAGACTTTGGGAGGTGATGGATTTTGTTTACCCTTACTTTGAAGAGGGATTAGGCAGGTTTAATTGCAGCTGTATTACCCAGATATGTGGTACATCAAGCACCACTCGCCACCCAAATGTTTAGAAATGCTATGTTTTTTAGAGAAGAGCGCACGGTTGGAATAACAAAAGCGAACCACTCAACACGCCTGAAACTTATTCCTTACCAGAAACGTCAGGTTTCGTAAGAGCCTTCGCCGCCGTCGAGCTTTGCTTCCGTGGAGTAGGTTCCCGCCTGCTGTCTCTGAAGCTGGCTCAGACACGGCCAGAGATTGACGCGACTCCGTCATCTGCGCGGCAGTGACGTGTGGTGAGGCAAGGCACCCGCTGCAGCTTAACAGTAGCGTGTGGTGAGGCAAGACACCCGCTGCAGCTTAGCAGTAGCGTGTGGTGAGGCGGGACATCAGCTGCAGCTTAGCAGTAGCGTGTGGTGAGGCGGGACATCAGCTGCAGCTTAGCAGTAGCGTGTGGTGAGACAAGACACCCGCTGCAGCTTAACAGTAGCGTGTGGTGAGGCGGGACATCAGCTGCAGCTTAGCAGTAGCGTGAGGTGAGGCAAGACACCCGCTGCAGCTTAGCAGTAGCGTGTGGTGAGGCGGGGACATCAGCTGCAGCTTAGCAGTAGCGTGTGGTGAGGCAAGACACCCGCTGCAGCATAGCAGTAGCGTGTGGTGAGGCGGACATCAGCTGCAGCTCAGCAGTAACGTGTGGTGAGGTGGGACACCAGCTGGAGGGGTGGGGTTGGGGGTGGGGGTGAGGGTCGGGGGGGGGGGGGGTAGCAAGTAACCCATTCCCTCCGCATGCTTTGATGTGGCAAGAATCCCTTTTTGCTGCTCCATGATTTCAGAGAGTCTAGAAGGGACCCTCAGATGTTTGGAAGTAACTCGCTCATTGTGTTACCAAAGTCAGCGCAGAGGGCCCGTCCGGTTCTGGAAAGCGTGCATCTTAGGCTCAGAAAAGAAACGTCTAGAATCCGGAGAAGGCGCATCTTAGATTGAAAAGGGTCCATTTCAAGACAATAAAACGCCTGTCAGTTTCCGGCAAAAGAGGGGTCCACTTCTGTTTTGAGACATCCCCATCGCAGACTCGGAAGGGAGCATCGCAGACTCGGAGGGGAGCATCATCGCAGACTCGGAAGGGACCGTCTCGGATCAGGAAAGGCTGGATCGCAAAACTCAGAGAGGGCCACCCTCAAGGTTGCAAAGAGTACATCACCGGCCTGAAAAGACCCCATCTAGGTGCGTAAAAAGTTCGTCACAGGCTCTGAAAGTGGCCCGTTTTGTCTGGAAAAGCTCCGTCAAAAACCGAGAGAGGGATCTTATCCGTTCAGTTCAGGGCTCATCCTAGACCAAGAAAGTGAGCATTTCAGGAAAGGAAAAAATTTGACTCATCTCTTAAGCCCGAGAATACCTTATCTCAGATCCGAAAGGTCCCACCTGTCTTGAAAAAAGGCTTTCTCTGATTATACGATGTACCACTTTCAGACATGCGAGAACCGAGGACCAATTCTTAATATGCGAGTGATCAGCGATTTTGGATTTATTGTTATGACGTTCCAGGATCCCCAGCTCCGGAAGCCTTCTCTGCCGCGCGAGATGCCGGTGCCAGCGTGAAGCGCACGGTGGTACCTTCTGCAGCAGCCGTCATTCCCGTAAAATGAAATGTTGCGTGCCACAACAGGTGTACCCAGTGCCCCCCACTAAAGCACCTCCAGCACACTTGCGGTCTCATATTAGCTTGAGTCTGTCTCCGGGAGACATGTGGTGGAACTGCTGCCGCTCCAGCAGTCGGTGCTCCCGCAGAGAGCATGCCCGGCGGAGCGGGCGTTACCACGGCTTGAGCGGCCAGCGTCGTCCGCCGAGACTCACCGTGGCTCGCGACTGGACCCCGTTCACTTGACCGTGCCGGCCCGCTCGCCTGCCGTCCCTGGCTGCGCCAGCGATCTGACCGTGCGGCACAGTGTTGCTCTGGGAGAGCGCAGCTGCCCGCGACGGCACCTCTTCTCAGCCAATGATCCACGCCTGACAGAGTCGGCCTGCGTACGGGAGCTCGAACTTCCCCGGTCCGCACGCCAGGCCAGACTAATCGGCAGCTTGGCCAGGCCACACTAATCGGCAGCTTGGTCACGAATGAAGCACATTGGTAGCTGCGGCGCGAGTGGCGCTGAGACTGCGGGAGGTCAGGGTGCCAACGGCGGCGGAGACTGGGAGGTCAGGGTGCCAACGGCGGCGGAGACTGGGAGGTCAGGATGCCAACGGCGGCGCAGACTGTGGGAGGTCAGGGTGAAAACGGCGGGGGAGACTGGGAGGTCAGGGTGCAAACGGCGCCGCAGACTTCGCGGGATACACGAGTGAGCGCGGCCAGGTGCAGTCAGCTAGAATCGCTATTGAGCTTGAGTGGGGAGCGAAAAATTTAACCACAAAAAGGCCGCAAAGGAGTGAAAAGTTAAATTCACAGTAGCTGGAGCTTATGAGTCAGTGAGAATGTCCTGGCTTACAAGGACATACATATTAATTTGACGTGGCATCAACCTTACAAGCATGACAAAAATGTTGTTGTTGTCTCACATCTTCGGTCATTGCACTAAAACATAAGACATAAAAGAAAATGTATCTCGTAATAGTGAGATGAGCACCAAAAGCTTTAACACAAATGTGTTGATGCTATGTTTCGCACTTCCCTCCACAGGATTTTTTTAAAACATAAAACACGCTCTTGAATCATATTATGTTCCTTTCCTTTTCGCTTTAAAGATCCATCCAAGGCTCCTCCATTGAACCAGTTCAGTTCCCGACAGAAGACAGCCCTGTTCACTCATTCATTGTCATTAAAGATCCTGATATTCCGGGCGCAGATATAACGAAGCCAGTGACCTGTTCCTGACAACCGCAACAAGCTACGGGTTCAGCGGCTTGCGATCACGTCTGACCGGCTGTCCGACTAATCGTTCTATTACATTCGTATAGTGTTGTTGGACGTAAACAGGTCACATGTGAATTGGTTCCATATCACATAGGATGAGTGGAGCCAAGCACTTCTGGTGCATCGCCTGATCCCAAATGCACGTCCGTCCAGGCATCTGTCAGTGGCCTATACTGAAATTGTACTCTGCGTCTATGTGGCGTGTGCAAATAGGGCAGTGTGGCATCAAGTAAATACGTTCGATATTGTCTGGTAATAAATCGTGATGTGCACTGCAACATTCAATGCTGGTGATTCGTGCATTCCTTTTAATCATACGTTTAAAGTACTTTACTCGGCACGTAGGCCAGGTGGTGGGCGATTGCCGCCCCGTATAGCATATGGTCGTATATGGTCTTATAGTATACCCTCATTTATGAGAGGTAACGTACATGGATGGGCCAGGAGGCGTATTGTGAAAATATATGCTGCGAAGTTCCCCACGTTTTACTTAACAGTGAAAAGCGCATTTCTGGCACAATCGAGACTGCGGATGACCATTCCATGGCAAAGCGTTATAAAAAACATTTGTATGGATCAGGAATCTCACATTCGTCAAATCATAACTGCACAGAAAAATGCCTATTTGAGGACGGTAACGAATATTTTGTCAACACCACCTCAGAGCGCCACACCGCTACCGCTCTGATGATACCCTTATTGGCGGTCCCGGGGTGGCTTCGCGGGATCGGTGGGGGCAAGGGGTGGTCCCAGCAGGACGGGGCGACACCGTACACTGCTGCAGATACGCTTGTTCCCGCTGAGGGAAGCATGTCCTATATTCCCTTTTTGCTCATATGCATTGAGGGGAGCCAGAGGAGCATTGAGGGGGATAAGTCGGCATGGAGAAGGGGAGGAGGCTCAGACTCCGTAAAGTATATATAGTGACGCCGCTAACATTCATGCTTTATAATCATATATGTATACGCCAACAAGGACAAAGTTTAAAGGTTAGGACAGGTGTACGCCTT